GATAGTTGGAAATTTGTGCAGCAACCAGATTCAGTTCGTGCTGTGCACTATTATAGCATCCTTATTTGAACTTTCATTCTTGTTTTTTTTTTGTGTATTTTATTTTTTAAAGAGTTTTCAGCCTCTAGTGACCTTTATAGAACAGTAAATGGACAGGAAACTGGGAGGAGAGAGAAGGAAAAGACAAGCAATAATTTGCCTAATGAACTCAGGGCAACCGGATCACGGACTACAACCTCTGCACATGGTGCACATGCTGATCCACCCAGCTCTCTTAAACAGTTTTGTTTTTACTCAAGCTTCTAATCCAGTTTGCTCATGATTGCTGTGGATGCTGCATTAGCTTGTTACTGTAATGAGAACGACTGACGACATCCAAAGGTACAACGGACATCTTCAAAGTTATTGTGGACATTGCAACGTGATGCTGTTGTTATATTTCATGCTGGATGAAATATAAATTAGGTATTGAGTCAAAGAGATGCTTAGATTAGTTGTTTGTGAAAAAGTTCTTCAGCTTTCTTAAGAAATCACTTTAGCAATAAAAATGTGGCTATACATATTCATTCAGAAAAAAAAGTTACCCTTTAAAATGTAGTCTGCTGTTTGTCACAAAAACTACATTTTTTTTTTTAAAGATACGTCATTCCAGCTTTGCAACAGCTTAAATATCCATAATGATTACAAAACTGAGAAGCAACCATAAATTCAGTTTTGATTCCTGGAGAATATATTTAGTTTTGAACAAACCTGTTTGTTTCACACATTTGAGACACATTTTCTCAGGTATGAGATCACCAAAGCAAGCACTTTCTGAAGTAATTGTCCTTTTTTTGTTAGAATTTAAACCACACAGCAGATCAGTGGTGCTATTTGCTTTATGTTTGTTGAAGTATGTGTGTTTGGTCAGGCAAATTATAAAAACAAGCGTATAATAAGGGTTAGCAGGCATGATAAGCCATAATATCTTGTAAACTGGCAGCAGGGATACTTTAAGCCGGTCTTATGCTAATATTACCACAAGTGACTGTCAGCTAAAGAAAAACACAAATATCTTCAAACATGCTTAAACCCATTAATAACCACATGCACAAACTGAGACAGAAAACTCCCGCAGACATAGATAGTGGATGACATATCAAGCTGGAACATTATTTACTTTGTTTTTGTTTAGCATGAAATTGTACGCAAAGTGAAATCATTAATTGTTCAGTTATTGTCTGGCATTAAATATTAATGCTTTTTACAAATAAGACCCCGAGGAAATTCTCTTTAGAGCTTGAGCACTAAAGTGCAGCAGATACATATATCGACCTGTATATGTAAATGTTGCATATGCGTATTCTGCATACCTCATGTCATAGTGAGAAACTGAGTCAAAACATTGCTGTTCCCTTCTCTGCTCTTTGTCATATGAGCCATTTTATCATAACTTGACACGTTTTTCTTTATGTATATATTACCTATATGTGAAAATATATGTTTAAAATATAATCATCTGTATTTTTAATTTATTCATTGCTTTGCAATATCACAGTGCATTTGTCTTTTACGTGAATGTACACTTAAGGCCAATGTCGTTGGCATTTGCAGAAAGATAAACATTTACAGCTCCATTTAATTAGGTGCAGATTCACCAAACAAGCCATCTTTAAGGCTTCTCTTAAAGATGGAAATCAGTGACTTACATGTGCACCACATAGCTCATGTAAAACTGATAGATGTGCTCTGCCTAATTACCTGCACACAAACAAACAAACGAGAAACCTTCTTTAAAGATGGGTTATCCTTCCCAGCTGAACTGTTGGTATGTCATCTTCATTTGAAATGCCACATCTGTTCATCTGCCTCTCTATAATTGCTAACAGTGACATTTATCCAGATTCATGCTGCTTTACAAGACCTTTACCTTTATTTAATTGTGCTGGATCTTCGACTTTCAGTTGTCATTGTTAAACTCTATCTATCTATCTATGTATCTATCTATCTATCTATCTATCTATCTATCTATCTATCTATCTATCTATCTATCTATCTATCTATCTATCTATCTATCTATCTATCTATCTATCTATCTATCTATCTATCTATCTATCTATCTATCTATCTATCTATCTATCTATCTATCTATCTATCTATCTATCTATCTATCTATCTATCTATCTATCTATCTATCTCTATCTATCTATCTATCTATCTATCTATCTATCTATCTATCTATCTATCTATCTATCTATCTATCTATCTATCTATCTATCTATCTATCTATCTATCTATCTATCTATCTATCTATCTGTCTATCTATCTATCTATCTATCTCAGTTCTCACCACCATTTTTCTACAAATAAGGTATCGAGCCATCTTTTTCAACACCCTTTTTTTTCTTTGTACTACCTTTTTGTTTAATTGAATGTTGCACGCACTCAGAGCAGTTCTAAAATATATAATGAGATGATTTGCATTAGACTGCAGATTGGGTGACCTTTGCTTTTGCCAATAATTACTATAAAACCCTCCTCTGTCTGTCATCGCCAAGGATGTGGCAGGGACCTCTCTATGCTCACAAAAGGTTAGTTGAAGGCTTCTGTCTGGACTTATGAAAAAGCCTGAGGAAAATGTCATTAGAGCACGAGAAAGACACTCGGAATTTACAATAGGAAATTCAATCAGGAAGGCTTTTAGGATGATCGGCGTATTATTTTTTTTTCTGTTATTTTTCTTTTTTAGGGGATATATTTTTTGGATATATTTTTGCCATATATATATATTTTTTTGCCATATATCCAAGTGAATCAGAAGTAATGTTTCTAAGATGAATTGCGCTAATTCTCCCTTTGGTGAAATCATTTATATGTTTGAGCTTCCACAGATTAAAACTAAATCAACTAGAAAAATTGCTGTTCCTAGCGAAACAGTCATGAGAATGCATATTTGCAGAATGATTGCTGCAGAAAATGCAAGAAACAGCAAAACACAGCATAAAAACAGAAGAAAGCTGTTTTTTTTTTCTTCATATATGGTAGAAATAATTTGCTAAAGTGTGATATTTAGCCAAAAATATAGCACAGATTAGCAGAAGCAGAAATTAGTGTAAAACCTGAAATAGTTGAAAAAGTTGAAAAGTGAAACATAGCAAAAGAAATAGCTTAAAGTAACAAAAAAGCTGAAAATTTTGATATATGAATTGCTCAAATTGATTAAAGTTTGCAGAAGACCTTTGTAGACAGTAAAACCAGTAAAAGCAGAAGTCATATACAGAAAGGAAGACAAGCAAAATGCTGACACACAGATATAAACAGAGCAAAACAGAGAAACGCATTGAAGGAATAGGAGAAGGTGTGACATGTCTGTATTCCAGAAGAATTTGACAGAAAACAGAGACCTGTAGCAATGATAGTAATAGTTAAAGTAGTTACTCGTGGCTATGTTTTAAAGCATAAATTATTGCTGTGCAATTAAATATGTATGAACAGCATCATTTTGTTTGTCAGAAAGCATGAAAAGTTAAAAACACGTCAGATACTAGAGTGTGCACTCTAACAACTAAAAACAGAGAATTCCACCTAACATTGTAAATCTGAAAAAATGAGAAAAAATCTGCATTAAACTTAAATCGCAAGTATGGAAAAAAAAAAACCTTAAGAGATATCAAATAGCAGAGATATTTGAATATGGTTTAAAGTCTTGGGACTTGTTTAAAAGTTGAATGGAGTTTCTAGGTTGATGTGGGCAGAAGTAGAAAGCTGTGAAAAAGCAAACGATTTTAGCTGAATTTGTGTCGTTTTGTAGATCTAATCTTTGTAGATTTCAATGTATTTCAATGGGGGAGAAATATTTGAAAAATATTTCAAAAAGTAAAATAGTGCAGTTTAGCAAAAGACATAGCAATAATGTCCAGAAAAAGTGGAGCATTTTGATGTAGAAGTGGTTAATGACCAGAAAAAGTGAGCAGGATCTTCATAAGAGAATAAAGAGAAACATAAACACTAATTAATCCTCACTGATTATTGTTCACTGGTTACTAAACAAATATTACAGCATCATAAAATAACATGATGGATTGTTCAAATGTAACATCGCAATCGATACATTATTTGTATCATGGCATGACATTTACATTGTGGCGACAGCTAGTTCATTAATCAGTTTGTTCACATTTTACTTTCAGTTCTTGCAATCACTGCATTTTATTATGACCAAAATTTGCAATGAAGCTGCTCTCATTAACCTTCCCACGACTGTTTCTTTGCGCATGCGCATGCAAAGAAACAGTCGTGTTCTCAAGCAGGAATATTGTCAAATATTGACTGTTAATGTTCACTCTTAAATAGAATGATGCTAAACATTGCCATGTTAGAAAATAGATTACAAGACATGGCCAAATGACACTTTCAGAGAACAGAATCCTAAAATAATGACCCACTGGGGAAAAGGTTTGCTGACTTCGGGATCGACTTTGACTTTACCATCATCAAAACAAATCGACACGACAAACGAAATAGTCAGGTTGTTAATGTTCCTGCTACTGTTTTGAAACATGATTGTATCACCTGGCAAGGGAGGAGGATTTAATAACCATAATTATTTATGCCACACATTCATTACACCACATACTTATGAAAGAGATGTAACTTTTTTATTTTTCATCCTGATTAATTTTTGTTACAATGCATGGTATGAATTTGCATGCTGTTACGGGTTGTCAATGTGCAGTGAAACGTGACTACATTTGCAATGCCTGAATTCCCTTTCCCATGGATTACAAGAACAGGTCAAAGTAGACCTTTTAATTCAAAAAGTCGGTTTGCAACCCTAGTAGTTTGCATTATTTGTTCAAAATTATTCACACACTGCTATCCCAATCAGGACTCATTGTGTAATGTAGCAAGCATGAGCATGTTTGGCTCAATGTAAAGAAATACTTTGAAAAAAAAAAAAACATGAGGGGGCAGAGCAGAGCACTAACATCAGAGGCTCTGTTTTGTGCTCTTGGTTCTAGTCACAGCGGCGCGTCACGTTTCACCTGCCGGATGGCTCTCAGGAGAGCTGCAGTGACAGCGGTCTGGGGGACCACGAGCCTGTAGGCAGTGGCTCTCTCCTCACACAACCTCTCCCTCTGGTGCAGGCGCAGGACGACTTCTACGAACAGGCCTCCCCAGATAAGAGGACTGAAGCTGATGGCAACTCCGATCCTAATTCTGGTAAGTCGTAATATCTCTTCTCTTCAGTGCATTATTGATTGCTTCAGATTTTTTTTTTCTCTCCCATTCTTCTGGAAAATTTCCTCTTGTACCATACTGAACAATTTCACACATTTTTACACAGTTTCTTAATTTCTTTGCTTTATTCCAATTTTGTGGACATTGTGTGAGATGTAATACTGCTTCTTTTCTCCAAAGTATCGAGCCATCTTGTATTCAACACAGTGAATTTGATCATTGTATTCAACACAGTAAATTCTGAATATTTGTTTGGAAGTTCAGGCTGAGAAAATAGAACTGTATCACATTTTCCTTCCTGAAAAGAGATAATAAATTGTCATAAAAACAACATCTGTCTCTATAAAGGACTGAACGCACCAAATATCATTTAATTTAGAGTCATTTCATTGCACAAGTAGGTTTCTAGTGGATACATGAGCAGGTCATTCATTTCTCAGTTAATCATCCAGACTTGTTCATTCCTCCCAGGAGCAAACCTGGGCCTCCCAAAGGCTCCTCACCTATTTGTGAAACTCATTTGATTTATTTAGAGATGATTTCCCAGTTGGAAATCTTGGTACTCAGCTGAAGATGTTAACTTCCCACTATTTCTGGTGGGAATGTACATCTCCGACCCAGTTTTCACATTTTATCATTAAGAGGTGAGGCGTGCACAAAGACCAAACCCATCACCCGAAGGTCGATGCCGGCATGCCTGCTGAGGTTGAAGCAGCCAGCAGTACATAAAAACAAATGCTGTGCACAAACTGAGTTTGTGTGATATCATATTGGCTCCAACTTAGCAGCTGCGGTCACAGTTGGCAGTAGCATTCAGTGAGTAAAGTTCAGACCAAGCGGCTCACTTTGCTTACAGAGCTACATGTGGACCTGCCATGTGCAGCAAATCGGCTTGTCCGTTTAGATAAAAAAAAGATAAGTAAAATTTAGATCATGATGAGCTTCAAAGCATTCTCGCCCACAACAGACAAGATAGGCAGTGTTTTCAGCACACAAAGTTAGAATTTTTCACATACAAAGAAAGAGATCTTTGACCCACCAAGAATAAACAATTGTGGAAAATAACAGTTGTTTGTGATCAGTGGAGATGGAGAGAGGAGTAAAGCGAGTCACACCAGGTTCTTCTTCCACAAATGTAATCTATAGACCATTTAATTTAAGCAAACAGGAAGAAGAACAAGTAAGAGGCTTCACTATGGAAAAAGGGTGTATTTATTTCAGTTTACCATCATTTCTGTCCTCAGTGAAAGGGATTTTGTTACTTTTGTTTGCCTGTTGGCAAACTGTTAACAGTGACAGCAATGGTCTTTGATCACTGACCTGCTTCTTGGCAGGACAATGATTTTACGTCTTGTCAATGACGGATGTGTTACCTGCTGTGCTACTTTCAAATATATGAACACAGTTGTCCCAGGTTAACTAGTTTTCAGTTACCTTTTGTCAGACTTGATAAGCCACAGATTCTCTCTTGTATTAAAGGTATAATTTAACTTTATCTGTTGTCAAAGGAAATGATATATGAAGCATATTTGACATTTATGAGATAAGTTATAAAAAAGTATGTTCTCACAGTACTGAAAATATTCCAAAATGGTAAATGATTTTTGATGGAGACCGTATTGGTGGGTGGCCTTTATTATTATTTTTAGGTTTTTAAGGTAATAGTACAACTTTTTGACAAAAAAATAATACAAGTAGGAATGAAAATGACAAAATGGCTTGAATTATAAAATTATTATGGAACTTAAGGTCATGAGTCTGTTCAGCACATTGGAAAAAAGTGATTAGTTTTAAGATGATTACATTAAAGTTGGTTTTAGATAAATGTATTTGTAATACTTAGAAATCAACATTAACCTTATCCTTCAACCTTAATTATTTGAAAATATCTTTTGTTTATAAAGCAAAAGTTAGTATAGGCACATTGTCTGTAATCTACAAGCTACATTATTAATAGATCAGACTATGCAGTCATAAAGTGGTTAAAACTCATTAAATAACCTCTAGTGCTTAGCCTTCTTTCAGTGGAAAAAACACAGAACTTTCTAATTATATTATGTTATACAGGAAAGCAATGAGACGTACGTAGGTTGCAGCTTTCATGTGAATTACCCACGCTTACAATGTAGGAGCTGAAAGAGTTAGGGTTCACTGACTCTCTAGGCTCCTATAAGTGATTATCTCTCTTTTTTCGTCTCGAAGAAATCTAGAAATCCTAACCAAACTAAAAACATGTAAAGAAATAAAGCAATTGAAACATTTGTTGAACAGAAGAGTGAATGACGTGGCAGACAGATGGATTGTAAATAGAGACATGGCAGTCAAGATGCTTATTTACATTTTTTTGTTAACATGCGTTTCTTTTTGTGAACACAGAAAGATTATTGACGGTGATATAACAAAAATATAAGCTTACAAAAAAAGTAAGTGACCCAAAAAACTGATATTATGTTCATCTGCATGAATCTGATGTTCTTACTTTTTTAAGTAGAAACCAAGGACACACATTGATGTACAGTTTAGTTTTGTTTTTGTTTCTTTAAATAAAGTGAACATAATACATTTCAAGGAACTTGGTACGTATTATTCTACATAAACCACATCATATAGTAACGACACAGTGTCATTTGTTCATGGTGTCAACAAATGACACCATGAAAGTAATGTATGAAGAGTGTGTAATGAAAAAAGTCCCTACGGCTGGTTCAGTTTTAAACTTTCAACACTAAGGTACACAATCCCCGAAAGTTAGATCAACTCCATCACAACAGTGATGACAGAAACAGAGATTAATTTGTAATTAATATATTGAATATATTGGCCAATAAAGAGACTATATTTTTCAACTACAATTCAAATCTGTGTTAAGAAGTCGATTTGGCCACATTATCGTGCATATTCAAAATTGTCACATTTAGTAACACATTTCACCCAGCAGTATCTTTCACCTGCAGTGACAAAGCAGAAACCCTCTGCTTCCATTACTGACTCCTGTTTTACCTAACAGGAATCTGATTTATAGATGGGCTATAAATCAATGTTACAAAGATATTCATGTATGAGCACACTAACAGGTGTGAAGAATGCTTCATGTAAACCTCATAACAAAACATTGATTAGGGAGGAATAGAGGGTTCAGTTGCCCTGAAGTGAAATCAACAGGAAAAAGTGGTGCTGTAGTTTTTAGGTGATAAACACTCCAACTGGCTGATGGCTATGCTACCTAGTAAATGGCTTACATTTACGGTAGTTTTATTTCCCTTGTAGCAAACCTTGGACAGCGATTATTCTCACCCTATTCACCTGGATCAAAACCGATGCCACACTGCAGAAGGTATAGAGAGTGAACAGTATTCATGTGAGTGAAAGCTGTGCAAAATAGCCACGAACAGCTGGAAGGATAAAAAAGATAGACTGCTGAAAGGAGGATTACTTTTCATGTTGTGCTAACTTAAAACAGGGAATGTTTTATGGTTAGCATATTGTTGCAGGATGCAAGTAATCAGGTATTCAGATCTCTTAGATTTTTTATGAAACCACTGACGCGACAGCCATCGGCATCATATGTAATATGTTTATGTTGGAATGCAAAATACAAATGACCAATGAATATTAGAATATGACTCATCAAAACAAAAGACCAAACAAAAAATTCTTTTTTTTTTCTGCTTAACACTTAGAAATCATCCATTCTCATATAATAACCAAAATTACACTGACTCACAATTTTACATTCTCTGTTTTTACAGTGTGTATCAGCAGTTCAGTCAGCAGGCAGTTTGTCTTCCCATTGTTCTGGCTTATTCATGTATGACTGCACCCGCTCATATGTCCTGACAAAATTATTAATGTTCCCTTCATCGCTCAGTGTCAAATCTTGATATAAGCCCTTGTGGTATCCTAAGTTATTGCTGCTGTAATTGTCCTTGCTAACTTAACTGCAGGAAGCCAGAATGCTACTTTTACCTCTGATCTTCTGCTTCTGTCATGACACTGCCCATCCTATGTGACCTTTGGTCCATGTTATATTATTCACATATCTGTGTCATATGTTCGTTGTGTTTTTTCCTAATCAAAGTACTTTTAACAAGTGTCAGAACCACATTCTACTCGTAAAAACATCTTAGCATTAAAAAGGGTGCAAAGTGGTGAGATCAAGCTTTTATGCTTCTATTTAAATCTTTAACTGATTCTAGTGTGATTTAAAAACATAATTCAATGGCAACCAGTTGTACCTGTCTAGTTTAATTTTGTGCCAATCAAAAAGAGGATTTTCACCTCCTTTACAAAGAATTTCAGCTTTGTCCCTTTAGTGTGAAGTTTTCAGTCCCAAAATGTAGGACGAACTGCTGTTAATGAAGTGAACAAAGTGAAGTGACATCAATGTGGTTCTTTAGCAGATTTCAGTTCATGGTGAAATATTATTTTAACACATTACTTATATCAGTCACATCTTTCAGTTTTCGACTCTGTGTCCTCCTGCTTTTGAGCATTAATTTATGTGAATGGCTGTGATATGTTCTTATGTTTCATCTTTGTGTGCATGGATATTTATTCACCTTTGTTTATTTTCTAAATAGAATTTTTTTTTTTTTATAAATTTTACTTAAACATTACTTAAACAGCTGAAATAACAGGTTGATTATAAACAAACAAACAAAAAAAAAGAAGTATACCTGCTTGAATGCATATACCCGAGCTGATGTGTGCTCCAAGTAAGTTGTTGGTGAACTACATGAGATGCACTGGGTGATTTTCTCGAAAACTTTATTGCATTGCAGGACTGGCATCTCTGCACCCCCTGATTCACCATTCCTCCCACTGTGGCCCACTGTGCTGCATGAGGAGTCACTAAGATGCCAATCTGTTGAAGTTGAGGAAATAAACTCAGCACTCTCCAGGGAAATAACAGCTCACCAGCCTTAACACTGCATTTCCCATGCTGTGCAGCTAAAGTTCAGTTACTTGAAATACAAAGTTTG